AGGTACTTTTGTGACCCAAAATTGTCACCAATTCCTTTATCTTTATAGCACACTCCCACTCAATCTAGTTAAGCTAAAATGCCTCCTCATTGGGTGCCAATTCCACCGCGCGACCAGCACACTGGTTTCATACAAGAGGTTCATAGCATAGAAGTTAACTAGTGAGATCAAAATAAACACACAAGACTCAATTACATTTTTCTTTGACCAGGTCTGAGATGGCCCTCCCTTTAGCTCTCACCTCGAACCACCTGGTGGGGCAGCAAGGCTTACTCAGGACTAGCAGGAGAAAGAGAGAGAGAGCATGCCAGGGAGTAGCCTTTTATTGGGGAACAAGAAATTCAGGGGAAAATTCCATCCAATGAAGGTCAAGGGGGGCAGCATTCCAAGGTCGGGGTCAGTAATTGGTCTCAGGGTCAATGGTCAGTCACACCCCCACAGAGACAGGCTCTCACACCTGGAGAGGGTGGGTATAAGCTCCGACACAGTTTGGCCAGAATGCCTCACATCCAATCAGGGAGGTGCCTAATCATGTACAAGAATGGCTTCCCACACTTCTCAAATTCAGGAGTCAAATAGACCACAACACAATAATTTTGGATGACTGAACACATCTCTTTTATCACTAAATAGATCTTCCAAACAAAAGCTGAACAAAGAAACCTCAGAACTCAATAATATAATCAATAACTTAGACTTAACTGACATATATGGAATATTTTATCCTTCAATGAAAGAATATACTTTCTTCTCAGCAGCTCATGGATCCTTCTCTAAAATAGATCATATACTATGCTACAAAGTAACTCTTAGCAAATATTAAAAAGTAGAGATGTTAATGGAATGAAATTAGAAATCATTGATAAAATAAGAAACAAAATCCACTCCAACACCTGGATACTAAATAATATGCTGCTGAATGAAAAAATGGGTTACAGAAGACATCAAGGAGGAGATTTAAAAAATTTAGAGGTGAATGAGAACACATATACAACATATTGAAATCTCTGGGACACTGTTAAAGCAGATCTAAGAGGAAAGTTCATTCCATGGAGTTCATTCCTTTAAAGAAGAAAAACTCAACATAACTGACTTAACATTACATCTCAAAGCCCTAGAAAAAGAAGAAAAAATCAACACCAAAAGCAGCAGAAGATAGAAAATAATTAAAATCAGAGCAGAAACAATTGAAATAAATTGATAGAACAAAAAGCAGGTTCTTTGAAAAAAATAAATAAGATTGACAGACCCTTAGCCATGCTAACAAAGAGAAGGAGAGAGAAAACTCAAATCATTGACATGTGATGAAAAAGGATATATCACAACAGACACTACATAAATACAGAAGATAATTAGAAATTATTTTGAAAATCTGTACTCCAATAAAATAGAAAATATTAAAGGCATTGACAAATTTCTAGAGTCATAATTTGCTCAAATTCAATCAGTATGATGTATGCAATTTAAACAGATCAATTTTAAGTGACAAGATAGCAGACACCATCAAAAGTCTACCAATCAAGAAAAGATCAGGACCAGATGGATACAGAGGCGAGTTTTACAAGACCTTTAAAGAAGAACTAATACCAATACTCTTCAGTTTGTTTCAGGAAATAGAACAAGAGGAAGCACTTCCAAACTCATTCAATGAGGCCAATATTGCTCTGAATCCAAAACCAGACAAATACACCTCAAAGAAAGAAAACTTCAGACTAATATCTCTAATGAACATAGATGCAAAAATTCTCAGTAAAATTCTGGCAAATCGAATACAAAAACATATCAAAAAGATCAAGCACCATGATCAAGTGGGATTCTCCCAGGGATACAAGGTTAGTTCAACATATGGAAATCAATAAATATAATTGATCACATCAACAGACTTAAAGATAAGGATCATATTATCATCTCAATACACACAGAAAAAGCATTTGACAAAATACAGAACCCCTTTATGTTCAAAACACTAGAAAAACTAGGGATAACAGGAATATATCTCAATATCAGAAAGGCTATCTATGCTAAGCCCCAGGCCACCATCATTCTAAATGGAGAAAAATTGAAGGCATTTCCTCTAAAACCTGGAACAACACAGGGATGTCCTCTTTCACCACTTCTATTTAATGTAGTTCTTGAAACACTGGCCAGAGCAATTAAACAGATGGAAGAAATTGAAAGGATACACATAGGAAAAGAAGAACTCAAACTAGCACTATTTGTTGAAGATATGATTCTATACCTTGAACACCCTAAAAGTTTCACCAGAAATCTTCTAGAACTTGAAAATGAAATCAGCAAAGTAGCAGGATATAAAATCAACACCCATAAATCAAAGGCACTTCTGTACATCAGTGACAAATCCACAGAAAGGCAAATGAGGAAACTACCCTATTTACAATAGCCTCCAAAAAAAGTAAAATACTTGGGAATCACCTTAACAAAAGAGTTGAAAGATATATATTTTGAAAATTGTAGAACTCTAAAGAAAAAAATCAAAGAAGACATTAGCAGATGAAAAGATCTACCTTTCTCTTGGATAGCTAGAATTAATATTATCAAAATGACCATACTACCAAAAGCACTATACAGATTTAATGCAATTCAGATCAAAATTCCAATGACATTCCTCATAGAAATAGAAAAAGCAATTATGAAATTTATCTGGAAAAATAAGAGACCCAGAATAGCTAAAGGAATCCTTACCAGGAAGAGTGAAGCAGGTGGCATCACTATACCAGTCCTTAAACTATACTACAGAGCAATAGTAACAAAAACAGTATGGTATTGACAACAAAACAGATGGGTAAACCAATGGTACAGAATAGAGGACACAAAGACTAACCCACAAAACTACAGTTATCTTATATTAGACAAATATGCCAAGAACATGCACTGGAGAAAAGATAGCATCTTCAAAAATGGTGCTGGGAAACTGGAAATCCATATGCAACAAACTGAAATTAAACCCCTATCTCTCACCATGCACAAAACTCAACTCAAAATGGATCAATGACTTAGGAATAAAACCAGAGATCCTGCATCTAATGGAAGAAAGAGTAGGCCCTAATCTCCATCATGTGGGATTAGGCCCCATATTCCTTAATAAGACTCTTGTGGTTCAAGAATTAAAACCAAAAATCAATAAATGGGATAGACACAAACTAAAAAGTTTCTTCTCAGCAAAAGAAACAATCTGTGAGGTGAATAGAGAGCCTACATCTTGGGAGCAAATCTTTACCCCTCCTCACACATCAGATAGAACACTAATCTCTAGGGTATATAAAGAACTCAAAAAACTAAGCACCAACAAAACAAATAACCAATCAATAAATGGGCCAAGGACCTGAAGAGACACTTCTCAGAAGATGATGTACAATCAATCAACAAATATATAAAAAAATGTTCATCACCACTAGCAATTAGAGAAATGCACATCAAAAGCACTCTAAGACTTCATCTCACCTTAGTCAGAATGGAAGCTATTATGAAGACAAAAAACAAGTGTTGGTGAGGATGTGGGGAAAACAGTACACTCATACATTGCTGGTGGGACTGCAAATTGGTGCAGCAAATATGGAAAACAGTATGGAGATTTCTTGGAAAATTGGAAATGGAACCACCATTTGACCCAGCTATCCCTCTCCTGGGTCCATACCCAAAGGACTTAAAAACAGCATACCACAGGGACCCAGCCACATCAATGTTTATAGCAGCACAATTCACAATAGCTAAACTGTGGAACCAACTTAGATGCCCTTCAGTGGAGAAATGGATTTTTAAAAGTATGGCATATATACACAATGGAATATTACTCAGCAATAAAGAGAATAAAATCATAGCATTTCAGGAAAATGGATGGAGTTAGAGAAGATAATGCTAAGTGAAGTCAGAAAACCAAATGTCAAAATTTTTCTTTGATATAAGGAGGCTGATTCATAGTGGGATACGGAGAGGGAGCATGGGAGGAATAAACGAACTCTATATAGGCAGAGGGGTTAGAGGAAGGGAGGGGGCATGGAGTTATTAATGATGGTGGAATGTGATGATAATTATTATCCAAAGTACAGGTATGAAGACACGAATTGGTGTGAATATACTTTGTATACTACTGCAGATATAAAAAATTGTGTATATATGTGTAATACAAATTGTAATGCATTCCGTTGTCATATATAAATTAACAAAAAAAAATTCCTTATTAATTACTCAAAAACTTACTATTGCAATATAATATCAACTTCTTAAAAAATAATAATAAATGAACAAGATTTTCTCTTTCTTAAAGTTTTGTGTTTAAATTTGTGTCCCCCATTTGCACTAATACAGGTTCAATCACGTACAATAGTATTTTCATCTTTGTTGAATTGCTTTATAGAAACTAGATCATATAATATGGCTGAGAAGACACAGATAACCCTTGGAGAAAAGTAAATTTTGCTCATTTTTCATGAAGACATTAGTTGGAATCCAATTATAATTTTCTATATAATAACTGACTGAGATTATCAAAGGAGAAGCAAAGGGAGGAAGGAAGCAGACGGGAGAAAAGGAGAAGGAGTGAACGAAAAAAAAACTTTTGCGATTTTCCAATGTGTCAAGTACTGTGATATGCACCTTAATGCAGCCTTCATATAATTCCCACAGAAAATTTTAATTTATAACTCATTGTTATAATTTCATGAACAAGATGAGATCAGACATTTGTCCACCTCACACTTGGACATGTCAATATGAAAGTGTGGATTCTAATATAGTAATGGTGTTTATCCTTACAAAATAAAAGAATATGCAAGTTATACATGAAAACATATAGACATTAATTCAGCATAGAAAGGGGAGATGGTTTAAAAAAAACTATTTGATTCTTCTTTTTTAATAAACATGTCCCCAGGAAAATTTTTAAGATTATCAAAGAGGGTTCCTCATTCATCTGATACCAAGCATCCTTGATGCCATGGTTTACCCTGCTCTGTCTCTCACAGTCTATATTCCTGTTGTGAAAAAAGAAACAACCAGAGCAGGAAAAGGGCATGTTATACAAATTCAGATGACACAGGTCCTAAACTCACCCCCACAGTTAAAGCTTTCTCTGGATAATCTTTCATTGCATTGGAAACTGCCTTAGCATATGCCTGTCCTAACTGCTACTAAAAGGTGGAGGTGGTCTCATTATCACCAGAAAACTCAATGAAATGATTACTTAGAAATGGCTTAATGGAATTCACACACACACACACACACACACACACACACACACACACTCACTTAGAAATCTCAAAGATGTATCAAGGAATTGGTCACATTTCATGCACAAAAAGAACCCACAAATTCTCTTCACACTCAACTCAAACCACCTTGGTTGCAATTTTCCAGCTCTCACTGCTTCAGCACACCCAAAATGTCTATGTGAATCTTGGGCACGCTACTTTCCTTCTCACCTCTCTCTACTCCCACCTCATTCTTTCTTCTCTGATTTGTTCCTAACCATTTCTCAGGTAAACAATTTTAAACTCTCCAAGTTCCTCTTATGATCTTCACACATTTAAAAAACAAATAAAAGACCAAGCCAATAAACAAAGCAAAATTCTCTTAAAAGCAGAGAAAATTGTTGTGAACATTAACTTGTATTTTGTTCCTGTAATATAAACACAAACACAGAGTGTTGCACATAATTTAAGAAGTTCACAGACCCCCTAAGCATCCTGGACCCCAAATTCAGAACACCAAAAATTCATTTCTCAGCAACCAAAGTGCTTAGAAAAAAACCCAGCTAGGACAGTGAGTCAGAGTAGGAGGTGGCTGAGAAAAGACCTATATCCTGAGGACCAGAAAGAAGAAAGAAAACTAAACCTGGACCCAAAGGGTAGGAATCTGGAGTAAAGGGGATACAGAACCAAGGACCCATATTAAGAAGACGTAAGCCCCAAGCTGCAAAATATAATTTCTGAAATTTTATGGAGACCATCAATTCCTATCCACATTTCCAACCCTCCTCCATCTGGGCTCTGCTCACAACTGAATTCTCCAGTGTCACTGCACCAACAACAAATACCAGTTGAAAACTATGTTTTTAGGTGATACAGCTAACCCTAACCTGCAGCAGAGGATGGGCCTAGAACAGGTTTACTCCTCAGCAACACAACATGAGAAAACAAAATTAAAATTTAAAAAGACATTAGGTAAATTACAAAAATTAAGAATGATTGAGGATTTGGTTGTGGCTCAATTGTAGAGAGCTTAACTAGCATGCAAAAGGCACTGGGTTCAATACTCAGCACCACATAAAAATAAAGTAAAGGTATCATGTCAACCTACAACCAAAAAAAAAGTTTATGAAAAATAAAGAATGATTTAAAGACAAGAATAGAGGAGAGTTCTGTGGTCCAATCCTGAGGAGAAGTCCCTGTGGTCTTCCAATGCAAGTTACAATCATTTTTTCTCCATTTAGGAGAATTGTGCATTCCTGTTGTGCTTGGATTTTAGATAGTTTGGGCGGGAGGCAGATTAATGTGACGATTATAAAAGGAAAAAAAAAAACAAGAGAAGTTAAAAGTGCTTACTTGGAAGGGTGGGAAACAAATTAGAGAAGAGAGAGCATGAAAACCCATCCCATCCTGTGGAGGGTGGAGTGGAGGCCACTGATACAGAAGGGAAGAGGAGGACCCTGGAGAAGGGAAGGCCAAGGAAACATCAGAGTCACTTACCTTCCTCCAGGCTGAAATGGAACACACAGTAGTGAGATGACAGCTAAAATAAGCCTGCTCCGCATAAATGTACCTGCCCTGGCCTCCCCTCCATTCAAAACATGAGACTACCCACAGGAGGAGAGAGCCCAGAAAGTAGATGGCCTCTGCAGTATGCAGGGACTGCAAGGTGTTGTGGGAAATCCCCTGGACCACAGATCAAGACGGCTGCTTTACAGGCCAACTTCTGCCACTGTCCCACTGCTTTCTCTCTCTGCCTCAAAACTCATGAAAATCCATATTCTATCCATTTTTATTCAGTTTTGGTGCTAATGATAAAAATTATACTATGTGTAAAAATAATTGAGAGAATAAAATATAAATCATTCCACGATTATCAGAAGGCATTATTATATCCAGACTTTTTCTGGCAAAGATATATTTGAGAGAGGGGTGGGAATGTAGCTCATGGTAGAGGGCTTGCCTAGCATGCACAAAGCACCAGGTTCACAACTCAGAACCACAAATTTAAAAAAAAATAAAAATATAAAAAGACATTTGGGGAATTACCAAAAATTTGAAGAATGATTTAAAGACAGGAATGTGAGGTGAGTTCTGGAGTAAAAATGCCCAATTTTTCACAGGAAAAATATTTCTAGAGAATAAGAACCACTATTTCAGAAAGTACTTGGTTCATTCCACCACATTCCCACATGTGGAGAGCAGCCCACTTGGATTAGGAGCTTTGGGAGCTCCAGAAAACATAATCTCTCAATGGTGATTTGTTGATCGATGAACAGAAGGCCACATTCCTAAACTCAATGATTCCATTTCCTTATATGGATCATTTAATGATATCTTAGTATCTGCCATTAAGTGTCTAGGTGCAGACCAACAACTAGATGCACAGAAGGCTAAAAACCAATATTCTCACACAAGTCCCACACCGGTGATAGGAATGGGATTCTCCTCGGTGGAATGGGATGGCTGCAAAAAAAAAAAAAAAAAAAAAAAGCTACGAAAAATGAAATGATGAAAAAAAACCCAGGACACAGAAAATACTTTCAGAAAGAATGGACTGGACGGGCTAGCCGATCATACAGATTGACCTTCTATATTAAAAAGGCAAAATAGAGCCCATGCTTGCTTTCTTTATATCAGGGAACATCAAAGGCCATCCATAGAATGTTCTTCACCAAAAAAAGTTATAGGTTGGCTGTCTGGTTCCCAAAGAGTTACACCCATCCCCAGAGTTACTATGAGGAATCTTCCTAGTAGGGCTGAAAGAAAGGTCATGTGCCTTGGGAAATCAGTTGCATGGAAGAGCCAAGGATATTTCCCAAGGTTAAACCTAAAATCTCCCTGGCTGCCATACCTACAGAAGACCTCAAGTAATTCGTGGATGGCTTCCTGCACAATATAATGGGAAAGCCAGGGTTGAAATAAAATGCAAAATACATGACAGACCAGGGGTCACCATCACACACAGGTTTTCAAGCACTAAGTAGGAAACAGCAGCCCAGATCAAGGAAAGCCCAGGGATCAGGGTTCTGGCTTCCACTAGCTTCCAATTAGCCTCCCAGGGATAGGGACCCACATGTCTGTGGCTAGATAGAAAAAAGGAAAGGGGACACAAGGTCACAGGCAGGATAAGAAAAGCAAAGATACCAGGAGAGTCATTTACCAGACAGATAAGCAGCTTTCCTCTGATCTGAAAAACAATGCAGGAATTAGGGAAGGTAGGGACTAGAAAGTCCGCTACCAATGAATCATACAAAATTCAGCAGGAAAGCAGAATTTACAGAAATATGCCTGGAGTTCATCTGAAAGAAAATGAAAAACAGGGTATATGCCCATCCTATAGAAAAAGGAAAGTCTGCGTGCCAGGAAAATCCAAGAAAAAACTTTGATGCTAGAATTTCTACCTATACACCTACCCAACCCCACCAGACTCTAGCTCTCCTCTCTGATCTCCTCAGTCACTTCCTCTGGACCCAGAACCCTGTTTCTCCCTAGAGAGATGGACCCCAGACTCTGGCCCCTGTCAGCTGTCCCACTCACCACCAGGTCTGCACTTGCCCTGTGGGGTCTTACCAATGGCCTTCAGCACCTCTTCCTTTGCCTGCTGTTCCTCCTCCTTAAGCCGCCACAGATGCTCCTTTCCTGCCTCACCTGCATCCTTCTGGAATGTGCTTTGGTGATAAAATAGCAAGCCCCCAAGAGTAGGAGCCCCAGCACGGTCAGGATCACAGCAAATGCTGGCTTCCAGGGAGAAGCCTGAGGGAAGAAGGGCTCTGTGGCCAGGCAGACAGCAGGTCAGGGGCACACCCAGGAGAGCCAGCACACTCAGAGAGGCCAGCCCTCCCCACAGCTCTGCTGGGAGTGGGAAGCAGCACTGACCTGGGATGTAAATAGCCATGGCCTTCTCCTGGCCCAGGACAGGGTTGAGGACAGAGCAGGTCACATTCCCCACAGAACTGTCTCTCACCACCAGAGTGGCCTCCACACTAAACAGCTCCTCACTGTCTTGGGTGTGGGCCTCAGAAAGTGCTGGGAACTTGTTTCCACTGAGGTCTCTCCACTGCACCTGGGGCTTTAGGAACCACCCTGAGGCTGTGCACACCACACGCACTCCATCCTCTTCTGGCCCTTCTATGCGCACTTGGGGGGCAGAGCCCATCCCTGTGGGAAGGAAGCTGTTGAGCCCCAGGAGGCCACCATGGGCCCTGAGACCCCAGAGTTTCCTACAACTTGAGGGGGAGATTTTCATGATGAATTCTGGGAGTTCTATGGAAAAAGGGAAGAAAAGGAAGGAACACAGGGACCCACACAGGGCAGTGGGCTCTTCTCCCCAACCATGAGGCCCAAGGCAAATGAAGAATTTGGTCCCACACTCCCTCCTTGAATCTCCACTTTTCTCACCTCACTCATTCTCATGGGACATTGACCTCTCTGTGTATATCAGGTCCAAAATTATATTATTGAGTGACCACCTTGTCTCCTGAATTCTCTTTTCCTCCACCCATGTTACCATGAGTTATTTGTACCAGGTTTCCTCACATACACTTCAAACTCAAAACTCCACAACAGAATTCATAAATTTGCACCACTTGTGATAAAACAATTATTAAAATGTCCCCAATTCCTCACCCTTATTTATAGCCAGTTCTCCCACTTCCACAGACTTTTTACTGCCTTTACCTTTTGCCTCTGGGCCCAGTCATGGGATTCAATTTGGCAATGAGAAATTAGCTAATGTGACTTGTGCAGAGATTTGAAAAGCACTGCACCTTGGTTTTACCCTCTGCTATTCCCACAGGAGGACAATCTTGGGCTACCCAGTGGAAGATGGACTCATATAACATTGCCTGATCAACCTGCTACAGCTGGTGAGCCACATGATCACCTGAAATGTGAGCACACACAACCAAGGTGCACCTGGTGAACTTTTCAACTGACTGTAACAACAAATAAAAATTACAAGTAAAAAGCTTAATTCTCCCTGCTGAATAAAAGAAGATTCTCCCCTTTTTATTGTAGCATTTGCTTTGAGAAACTGCAAATACACATAGGTACTTTCTCATCTTTTGAAATGTTTATACATGATTTTGAAAACTGGTTAGGATTTTTGCCAGCTTTGTGGCTGAGTAATGTTTTTCTCAAGGACCTGGGAACCATTTCTTGGAAATGTAAACATCAGGGAAGATAGCAACCCTTTGCCCATTTTCTGTGGAAAGATAGGAGCCTAACTTATGTGGGCATCTTGCTCCAAGTTGTAAAACTACCTCCTATCATAAAGCTAGAGAAGTTTATTTTTCTTCCAGATTAAGCCTATTATATAAGACAGATGGTCTCCCAAACTACCAGGTAAATTTAGGATGAGTTATATGGAACAAATTCTGCTTTGAGCCCTCTTAGTTGAGAATTACTTATTGTTCATCTTGAAAACAACTATATAGGAGATTATATATGCTTGGCTATAAAAAGAAAGATGAAATTTCTTTCTGGTTGTATAAACCCTTTGCATATCACTATTATATGTATCATATTCTGGTTTGATGCTTATTCAGTAATAAAGTGTTTTCTCATAACTTGGGAGATTTTGCTTTTAATTATGTTTCTGAAACATGACCAAAGATGTATGAGTATACCCAGTGATTATTAGCCAAGTTCAGCCCCAGTTAGTTGAACTCCCTCAGTGCCTGTCTTAAATACATTTTTATTGCCAGATGCACCTGAGATTGTGGCTGTTTGTTACACAGCATTATTACAGCAGTAGGACTGACACATAATTATCAAGTGTCCTGCCATGAAACAACAAATGGTTGAAATAAAAACCTGGAAGCCTCTGAACACTTCTTTTCCCCTTCCAAGCTTTGTGCCTACAAATCTACTCAGTTGAATCTGGTTTCTAAACCTGTCTGACTCCTCTTCTCCCACCCCACTGCCATGCCTCAGGTCAAGCACTCATTCTCTCCACATCATAACTGCACTCCATGCCTCCTTCTTGCTCACCCCCCATCCATTTGTTCACAGCTGCCAACATGAGAATTCAGAGCATGGCTCTGTTCAGGATTCCCCCTACTCTGCATCCAAACTCCATAACACAGCACAGAAAGCCTTTACTAATCTGGTAACTGCCTTCCTCTCCAAGAGTTCTCCCAAACTCCACCATCTTGGCCTCAAGGCCCTCACACTCAACCCCAAGAATTATCTGGTCAAGTACAATAGCTACAACCACCATGTTGTCTGCCCTCTGCCTTTTCATCTTCCAGGCCTTTAACCTCCAGGGCTCTTGTGCCAGCCCAGGTGTCCACTCTTAATGACCTCATCCTGACACCTGTGAGTGGTGTTAATAGAGGACCATCTCTTTATTCCAGTATTACCACTTCTTACCATCCTCCCCCTCACTCCTCCTACCAACCATGATGGCCTCATTATACCCAGAATAATCAACCATACTCCTACTTCAAAGGTTTCATACCAGGTGCTCCCTCAGTGTTAAACTCTTGCCCCCAAGATATCCACCTGGCTAAATACCTACTTCCTTTAAACCTTGCTCAGACTGTCAATAAGGCTCTGCCTGAGCCCCTCTATAACACTTCAGCTTGTCCCAACTTCCTAGCCCACATCTTGAGCCCCTTTCTTAATTCTACTTGGTCTTTTGTCTTAAGTACTTATCACCTTATAACATCTTGTACTGAATTATTTATTATGATTTTTTTTCTTTGCTGCTAGAAGGTGACCTCCTCAGGGCTGGGATCTCTGGTCCACTGATAGATCTCTGGTGCACAGAACAAGTCCCCACATATTTTAGATGCTCCATAAACAGTGTTTGTATTGAATCAATTAATAAATGAATGAAACATTGTTTCCTCTATTTCACCTATAAAATGTGAGGGTAAATTAGATGATCCCTGAAATTCACACCAAACCCAGTACTCCCAAGGTTTCTAGAATAGATATCAAGTAACTAACCTGCCACCTTCACTTCCAAATCAGCCTCTTCATAGAAGCCTCCATGTCTGAAGAAGCAGGTGTACATTCCAATGTCAGAAACCTGGACCTTGTGGATGTGCACAGCAGCCTGCCCTTCAGAAAGGAAGTCCTTCACCAGTGAGGTCCGCCCTCTGTACTCAGCCATCTGCTCCTCAGTATGTTCCAGTTGGTTCCAGTAGATGAACACTGCCTGTGAGAATGTGGTGCAGAACCACCTCTGTTCCATGTTTTCTGCATTCATGGCTGGGACTAGGGCGCAGGGCAGTATGGCATCCTCACCCAGCACTGCCACAATGGGGCAATAAGGGCCAATAACCTGGAACTGTTCTGTGGACACAGACATCAGGGTACAAAGCTAGAGAAACACAGACCAAAAAAAACAGAGAACACACACCATCAGGTGGGAAGGCCAGGAAAGCTGGGGCAGGGGCCAGATGAGATGACCCCTGAGGTTTGATGGATTTGGAAGAGATCATATGACCATTATGATGTGGCCCAGAAATGATGCCAAAGACACACTCCCTCATTGGCCTATGCACCTAGTCCCAAGTTCTCGCATGAAGAAATCTCTAATTCAGTGGTTCTCAAGCTTTTATTCATTCTACCTTTCATGGCAGTGGGGTGGAAGAGGAGGGGTCAGACAGGTTTAGAAACCGGATTCAACTGAATAGACCTTGTAGAGCACACTTTACTGGATCCCACTCCCAGAGCTCCTCATTCAGTAGATCTGGGGTGGGTCAAGGAATGTGCATTTACAAGGAGTTCCAAGGGTGGTCTGGGGAGCACTCTTTGAAAACAGCTCTAACCTGGTCTGTCCCAGTACAAATGTGAAAACTGACAAAGAGCACACCTGATTAAAGGACAGCACTCTGGTCATTCAGCCACACCCAGGAATTTCCCCTCTTCCACTTTCTACATTTTTTACTTCAGTCTATATTTTTCTCCTCCACTGATGGAGGAGAGAAATAGATATGCACTTTAAAACACAGAGTCAAATGCTACTTACTGCTGTGGAAATCCTGCTTTTGTCATTCACAGAAACCCCCCATCATTGCATGTTGAAGAAGCAAGTTAACCTCACCTTCCACCCCTTGGTGCTCTTGGGCTTCTGAGGCTACCACATGACTCCTCTGCAGGATACTCTGCAATGGGCCTACAAAGAGCTACTCTCAAACCCTGTGCTGCTCCACTCAAGTCTCAGCCACCATTAAATCTCAACTGGAGGATGACTAGGATTCCTGACCTCAGTGATCCTTTTTATGTGTGAACTAATCCAAGTTACTGCTCTGCTCAAAGCCTCCACATGGCTCCCCACTTCTCCCCAGGCCACACAAGGTGGACCCTCCTTCCCAAGACCCCTCTGAACACACCTGCTGCTTCTCTCCCCATGGGCTCTAGTCCAGCAACCCTGGCCTCTGTGCTTCCTCACACCTCTGCACACTGCCAGCTCTGCACAGGCTCCTCCCCCTGCAGGAACCTTCCTCCCAAATGATCCTCACAGCTCACTCCTCCTCTCCAGGGTTATGTTACCATTTACATACCACCTCACTGAACACTGCTGCCTACCACACCCTGCCTCCCATGCCCCTGACTGATCATAACCTGCCCTGCTGCATCTCCCATCATGGCCATCTCCTCCAACACACTTAGGTCTCTCTACCTAGTTGCATTTATTACTCACTCTCTCCTGTTAGAAGGTAAACTGTATGACAAGATTTCTGTCTGATTCTTTCATACAATAGCATCTAACAATCAACATTTCATTAATAGTTAAGGAATAAAATGAATGAATGAAAGCTTGCAGCTCAAAAAAAGGCAAGAAAACAAAAAAAATGAGGTAAAATTGATTTTCAAATGTTTTTCTATCTTAATTTTTAAAACCACAAAGAAAGACAGATGGGGACACTCACCCGTGGACAGCTGGACAAGGAGAAGCAGGGAAGTGAGACAGCAGAGCAAGGAGCGACTGCAGCGCCCCTCCATGTCTTTAGACCTGTGGAGAGAGATGGGGATGAGGGCAAGACCTGCAGGCAGGAGGCAGGTCCAGCCCAGAGCTCCAGCACCTCAGCATAGAGAGCAGGGCTCAGGGCTGGACAGCAGTCCCCTGCTGGAGCAAAGCATTTCTTATTGGTACATCATACTAACAGGGTATTGAATCCCAACTAAGTATGTGCTACATAAATTTTACTTCTGCCATCTCATTATCACAACTGCAGAGATAAAGCCATGAGCCCTGCCATCTGGTAACATCAATCTAATAACTTCCTAGAGGAGGGAGAGGCTAGATGTGCCAGGAGACTGCCTCCCACCACCACATCTCCAGCCCAGCCCAGCCTCTGCCCCAGGTAACTCAAGTGAGCAAGATCCTGAAAGGGACCTTGGACTCTCAGCTGCCTCAATTACATGGCCAAAAAGCTTATCTCACCCTGACCTGAGCATTCTCCCTCCCAAGGTTGCCCTGTGTCCTCCATTTGGGGAGGAGGGAGTGGAAGCAATGACAAAGTGCAGGTCAGGTCTCCTTAATGAACAGTGGCAGAATCCTTGAACAGCACTGGCAGGGGACACCAAACATCAACACTGTCCTCTCCCAACTCATCAGGATCACCATTCAGCTGCTTTGAAAAGAAACACTATTCAGTAAACCACAAATTTTTTTTTCATGTATAAACTTAAATAATACTAATGAGGTTAATATTAACTTTCATTTATGACCAACATGTAATAAATACCTCTTATCTTTTCCCTATATTGTTTTCTGAATTGCTTCAGATAAATGCCTAAACCATAAAACAATAGTCAACATAAATTGTATGAAATGCATTAAGATTCTAAAAATGTGACAGTTGATATAAAATACTTAACTCTCCCAAACCCCCAATTCTGTTCATACTGATTATTGAACACATCTAAAATATCCAGCCAGAAGTGGCTGAGAGACCTCCTTATGCCTCTCTCTCTCTCTCTCTTATTGGAGCCAGGGCGTGGCCCAGACACTACCCTGAATTTATCTGCTGAGCCCTCCTGGCTGGGGCACCTGCTCCACCACCCTCTGAATGAGCATCCACCCCCTTCCTCATCTGAGATTCCAGGGGAGGTAAAGTATCCCTTCCACTCAAGCCCTGAGATAGAAAAGGGTAAGGGAGTGAGGCCAGAGGGAAAAATATACATGCCTATAGAGAATTGAGTGAAATGTATTAGACTAATAAAAAACAAACAATAATAAAAACTTAAAAGGAAAGACAGCAGATGGAGAGAAAGCTGCCATAAAAAGGAAGGAGCAGGGCTGGGGGTGTAGCTCAGTGGTGGAGCCCTTGCCCAGCACATGTGAGGCACTGGGTTTGATCCTCTGCACTACATAAAAATAGATAAAATAAAGGTATTGTGTTCATATACAACTAAAAATATTTTTTGAAAAAAAAAGGAGACAGGAAGGGCCTGGCATTTGGTCTGACCTATCAGGAGATTAGACACCAGAATGGACACATTGGCCCAGAGTATCTGAAACATGTTTGCCAGGTACTGCAATGTCAGATCAGTTTCAGAGAGCCAGCACAGGCACTGACCATATGTATGACCCATCAGTGACCTGGGAAGAATTTACTGACCCTCCCAATCCCAGGTAGGTCAGGCCCATGTATGGTCAAGGGTGAAACAGGTGAGTCCCAGTGGAGGGATTTCAGAATTGGGTCATGGAAAAGGCCTAGAGATCTCAAAGGTGGACCTCTGCCCCTCAGAGAAGTAGAGGGGGGCCTAAGGTAGGAGAAGCCCTGTCCAGCCCCAAGAGGCACATTCTAACAGTCCCTGGGATGCTGCACACCCTGTTCCTCTCCTGTCACAGAGACTCTTCCTCTCAGGCCCAGTTAGGGCCTCTGCTCTCTAATAACCACAAGAAATACTTAGGCACACCATTCACTGAGGGTCATTTTACCTTTTACACTTTATTCTTCATTTCCATGATGATTCAGTACAATACTATGAGGTGGTTCTCACTGTCCTCATTCTAGAGCTGAGGGATGGAGCCTCTACAATAATGGAAGCTATCCAAGGTCATAGGGTCACGAGGACAAACACTGACAGGAGAAGGTCTGCCCCAATCACAGTATAAATCTAAAATAGTTGGGGGCACCAGTACTTGGGATGCTCTGGGGACCTGAGCGGGCAAAGGGAAGGAAAAGCATATATCAGAACTTCTATCATAAAAATTTTATGTTATATCTATTGTTTTTATAAGCTGAAAAATATGTGAATATATTTGTTAGCTGTATTTTCAAAATACATAACTTTAAAAGGAGGGCATGTGGGGCTGGGGTTGTGGCTTAGTGACAGAGTGCTTGCCTAGCATGTGTGAGGCACCTGGTTCAATTCTCAGCACCACATATAAATAAATAAAATAAAAGTTCATTGACAACTAAAAAATATTTAATAAAATAAAAAAGAGGGCATGTCCGGGACCATTTGGAAACTCCCTCTCATAGAGGTAGGAACAACATGCACCCAGAAAGAGGATTCTCCAAGGAGGCCAGACCACTCTTGGGCCAATGGAAAGGCCACCCAGGCAGTCTCGCCTGGTTTTCTCGGCCTCTGCTGCCCCCCTGTGGCTAGGATGCGGCAGAGAGAAAGGGCAGTTCTCATAAGTAAGACAGACAGCGGGTTGGAGGTGCAGACAAGAAATCTTAAAACTGTGGGGAGCTGGGGTTGTTGCTCAGTGGTAGAGAGCTTACCTACCATGTGCGAGGCACTGGGTTTGATCCTCAGCACCCCATAAAAAATATATGAATAAAATCAAGTTTTTTTTTTAAAAAAAGGAATCTTAAAAATGTGGAAAGGATAGAAGGAAACCAGATATAAAATGCCAGATGCTGTATGTTTCCAAATATATGAAATTAAGGAATAGACAGATGGAAGCTGTGGTGACAGAAATCAAATGAGGAGCTCCCTGGCAGGCTGAGGAAGTAGTTAGGAAGAGACAGCAGGGAGCCTCCTGGGGTGAGGGAAGGCTTCATATCTTAATATCCGGATGCTTCCTCAGGTATACACACATGTAAACTACATAATGGAAACTGAAGATCAGTGCATTCATTCACCTTCAACATTAAAAAGGAAAAAAAAAAAAGAAAAGCCAACAGCACAGTGGCACACACCTGTAATCCCAGCAGCAGGGGAGGCTGAGACAGGAGGATTACAAGTTGAGTCCAGACAGCAATTTAGCGAGAATCTAAGCAACTAAGCAAGACTCTTTCTCAAAAATAAAAAATAAAAAGGGCTGGGAATGTGCCTCAGTAATTAAGCACCTGTGGGTTCAATCCTTACTCCATGTTTATATATATATATATATATATATAT